CTATTGCATACACTATAACAGATACACGTTAAGGCTATTGTATACACTATAACAGATACACGTAAGACTATTGCATACACTATAACAGATACACGTTAATACTTATTTACACTGTAACATACACGTGAGTCTATTGTATATACTATAACAGATACACGTGAGACTTGCATATACTATAACAGATACACGTTAAGGCTATTGCATATACTATAACAGATACACGTAAGACTATTGTTTACACTATAACAGATACACGTAAGACTATTGCATACACTATAACAGATACACGTAAGACTCTGTAAACACTAACAGATACACGTAAGACTATTGCAAACACTGTTACAGATACACATTAAGACTCTTGTTTACTATGTAAAAGATACACGTAAGACTACTGTATACACTGTAAGAGATACACGTTTAGACTACTGTAAACACTGTAACATAAACACGTTAAGACTATTGTTTACACTGTTACAGATACACGTTAAGACTCTTGTTTACTATGTAAAAGATACACGTAAGACTACTGTATACACTTTAAGAGATACACGTTAAGACTATTGCATACACTGTTACAGATACACGTTAAGACTCTTGTTTACTATGTAAAAGATACACGTAAGACTACTGTATCCACTGTAAGAGATACACGTTAAGACTACTGTGAACACTGTAACATAAACACGTTAAGACTATTGTTTACACTGTAACATACACGTGAGTCTATTGTATATAATATAACATATACACGTGAGACTTGCATATACTTTAACAGATACACGTTAAGGCTATTGCATATACTATAACAGATACACCTAAGACTATTGTTTACACTATAACAGATCCACGTAAGACTATTGCATACACTGTTACAGATACACGTTAAGACTCTTGTTAACTATGTAAGAGATACACGTTAAGACTATTGTTTACACTGTTACAGATACACGTTAAGACTCTTGTTTACTATGTAAAAGATACACGTAAGACTACTGTATCCACTGTAAGAGATACACGTTAAGACTACTGTAAACACTGTAACATAAACACGTTAAGACTATTGTTTACAATGTAACAGATACACGTAAGACTTTTGTATATACTATAACAGATACACGTTAAGACTTGTTTACACTGTAACATACACGTGAGTCTATTGTATATACTATAACAGATACATGTGAGACTTGCATATACTATAACAGATACACGTTAAGGCTATTGCATACACTATAACAGATACACGTTAAGGCTATTGTATACACTATAACAGATACACGTAAGACTATTGCATACACTATAACAGATACACGTTAAGACTTGTTTACAATGTAACATACACGTGAGTCTATTGTATATACTATAAGAGATACACGTGAGACTTGCATATACTATAACAGATACACGTTAAGGCTATTGCATATACTATAACAGATACACCTAAGACTATTGTTTACACTATAACAGATACACGTAAGACTATTGCATACACTGTTACAGATACACGTTAAGACTATTGTTTACACTGTAACAGATACACATAAGGCTACTGTAACCTAACAGATACACGTACGACTCTGTAAACACTAACAGATACACGTAAGACTATTGCATACACTGTTACAGATACACATTAAGACTTTTGTATACTATGTAAAAGATACACGAAAGACTACTGTATACACTGTAACAGATACACGTAAGTCTTTTGTATATACTATAACAGATACACGTGAGACTTGCATATACTGTAACAGATACACGTTAAGGCTATTGCATATACTATAACAGATACACGTAAGACTATTGCATACATTGTTACAGATACACGTTAAGACTATTATTTACACTGTAACAGATACACATAAGACTACTGTAACCTAACAGATACACGGTCGACTCTGTAAACACTAACAGATACACGTAAGACTCTGTACACACTTACAGATACACGTAAGACTATTGCATACACCGTTACAGATACACATTAAGACTTTTGTATACTGTGTAAAAGATACACGAAAGACTACAGTATACACTGTAACAGATACACATAAGACTACTGTAACCTAACAGATACACGTAAGACTCGATAAACACTAACAGATACACGTAAGACTATTGCATACACTGTTACAGATACACGTTAAGACTCTTGTTTACTATGTAAAAGATACACGTAAGACTACTGTATACACTGTAAGAGAAACACGTTAAGACTACTGCATACACTGTAACAGATACACGTAGGACTTAGTGTATTCACTATAACAGATACCCGTAAGACTTTTGTATATACTATAACAGATACACGTTAAGACTATTGTTAACACTGTAACATACACGTGAGACTATTGTATATAATATAACAGATACACGTTAAGGCTACTGCATACACTATAACAGATACACGTAAGACTATTGTATACACCTTAACAGATACATGTAAGACTACTGTTACACTTTAACAGATACACGTAGGACTTAGTGTATACACTATAACAGATACCCGTAAGAATTAATGTATACACTGTAACAGATACACGTTAAGACTTTTATTTACACTGTAACAGATACACGTAATACTATTGTATACACTTTAACAGATATACGTAAGACTTAATGTATACACTATAACAGATACACGTTAGAATTAATGTATACACTGTAACAGATACACGTAAAACTTAATGTATACACTGTATCAGATACACGTAAGACTATTGTATACACTTTAACCGATATACGTAAGACTTAATGTATACACTATAACAGATACACGTAAGAATTAATGTATACACTGTAACAGATACACGTAAGACTTAATGTAAACACTATAACCGATACACGTAAGACTAGTGTATACGCTTTAACAGATATACGTAAGACTATTGTATACACTTNATGTACACAATAACATATACATGGTATTAAAGGTGTTTTATATTGAATTGCTTAACGTGATGCTATCTAATGTACAATTCATGTTATATATGCGTCGTCTGCCCTGTGTTGTCAGATGTTCGTTGTCGAGAAGGGTTCAATACCCTCCGTAGAGCGTCCACATACATCGTATGTGTCTGCCAGGCTGCCTGCAGGAGTACATCGTTATAATAGCCATGAGAAGCAATGACACTGTGGAATAGCATGCTGTTGTGTTCTATCCTCTTTTCACCAGTGTAAATATTAGAGTTGTGTTGGGGATATACCCCCAGTTTAAACACCACAATAGCAAGAAAGACATCATCGAATAGAAAGTTCTTGGTATATGGTATTGCAATTTGTATATCCTTCAAGAAATGCATAGATATGAGCATAGCCCCGGCACTTATGAACGGTGGGTAGCGGTTAAAAGGATAGTCCTCGTAGGATATAAACCACTTTCCATACTCATTCCGTTCAGGTGCGTCTTCGTGGAGATTTCCCATGAAGAGTGTCTCGTGCTGTTTGGCAGAGAGGGGGTCGAGAAATGCTATAAGAAAGGGCGTGGCTACGTAGAAGTCGTCATCCATGAACACGACGAACTGAGCGTGGCCACAGTGCTTGACGGCCCAGTGGATTCCACCGACCGTCTTTTGAGTGTTGTTGTAATAATCATCCCTGAACGTCATTTGTAGGACATCGTTGTGTCGATTAATCTCGTCCTGCAATGTTTTGTGAATTCGATGGTCGTCGTTCTCCCTTGGCATTCCAACCAAAAATATCGTCTTATATTGAAATGTACTCGATGTGGGGCCCTCCTTTCCCCAGGTGGATCGAATTGAATCCCTTCTGTCAAAATGACGGACGGAAGACTTGACAAGGAATAGAAGGAATATATCACTCTGTTTGCATTTGTTAGAGACGTCGGTAGTGTATTTGTATTGGTAATTGTTGATGGGCTTCTTGTCCAGCGGCTTACCTGCTCGGTACGCCCGTACTAGAGCCGTCATGTTGATGTCCAATGGATACCGGAAACTCTTAAAGGACACATCCTTCGAGAGTTTGCTAACCTGGTCACGTGTCATGAGAAATATCATAACGACCAGCAGCAGTAGCAGGTGACATCGCCTCCGAAAAAACCTTTGTACCAATCCATCATACCTCATATTCAGTCTGTCCTTGTTCAAGGTTTGTGCAAGGTTTGGTTGAGGTCATTGGTGAAGATCCTGCAAAACAGTTATCAGTTAAGTTAATACATCTTTTTCGAGGATTATAGTGGCATATTTTAATGGGAAAACGGAGTTGAAAATCAAAGTTATCTTTGCATGTAAACCTAGTTTTTTAACAACACAATCTTATGGACAGACGGAGGCAGAGACAGAGAAGGGTTATTGAGACTGCATAGCAAGATAGAAAAGAAGAATAGAAAGTAAAGGAAACAAAGAGCTAGAGAGTATGAAAAGGGCGGGATGAAATAAAACTTCTTGGTATATCTCATTTTTATTTATTTCACCAAGGTGACATACCGCCATCCCCCTACCCTTATAAACTATTTAATAACTCGTCCCGAATTTTCAAGGGGTCATAGCAAATTTTGTCGAAGTGTCGCTAGGCGTTTTTTTGTCAATACTTACCGGGTCCCTGGGTGGGAACCAATGTAAAATATGTCTTTTTTTTCAATGCCTCCACTAGGAGTCGAACCCATGACTTCTGGTTTACTACTTGTCTGATGCTCTACCGAATGAGCTAAACGCAGTTCTCCCTATAGACGATTCGGTAGGAGGCGGCCAGAGTTTTGCTAGAGAGACATGATTATACTAATGTATTATCAATTAGGTGGTTTGCTCGATTCTATGTAAACGTTCGTTTGCTTGTTTACAGAAATAAGATAGACTTCGACTTATATTGTTCATATATTTATCATCATCATCATCATCATCATCATCATCATCATCATCATCATCATCATCATCATCATCATCATCATCTGTGCATAGTTACAAACATCAACATCATCATGATAGATAATCTATCACACCCATGCTCTGCCTAAAACAACATACTTCACATAGTATATCATTTATATAATAAAACATAAACTCAATCTTACACACACACACCAGAGACAAAATAGGG